AGAAGACCAAAATAAATTGGAGCTCTGAAAATGAAATGACAGTGGAATGTATGAGAACCTCACCGTAGCGTTTTGCAGCTGTTCTAGAAATGATAAATTTTGTATAAAATCTTTGTAACGATAATGTAACTGTTAAAAACAAATATTGTAACAGATGACATATTATAAGGTGCTTTATGATTATCGTTATAATACAAAGTTGTGCATATAGTTTGAGATTTTTATTTTACAAAATACCCGCGGGTCACGGCCACCTTCCTCTTCCAAAAGATATGGAACAGCTTTTTTGGAAAAGATTTTTCGCTTTTCTCAGAAATTCAAACATGGCTTCGATCTGGACACGTTCTAAAACCCAAACAGTATAGGTTCCCAAACTTTTTGGCTAACCGAACACATTTTTTACAATGCCCACCACCACAAAAAATAAGAAAACAAGTATTTTTTATATTAACGTAACAAAAAAAATAAATATTTGTAGCGTAATTTTTATAGATAATTCAGATTTCTTTTTCATGTGGGGTAGCAGTCCCTAGGCAGTATCAACGCCCCCCAATTCCTTACGAGGATCCTACACCCCCCCCCCCCCCCCCCCGAACTCTTTGGCCGCACCCTGGGGGCTGTAGCACTTTGGGAAACTATGCATTAAACTTTTTTTTTGTATTGCATGCAGAGGATGAATTCATATTCCACACCGGTGTGTTCAAACAAAGAACCTATATACGGTTATTTACGTTGGTTTCCGTACATTTAATAATCAAAGTTCCTAAATAAATAGAGTTGAAAAAAAAATTAAAAAACATATTGGGTGTACCGCAAATGAATGTCTCATCTTTTGTATAACACTATAATGTCGAGCGAATTTAATTAATAACGTTTTCATAATATAAGGGCAGGAGACCAGGGTAGATACTATTACATAGTATGTAAATAAAAAAGTAGATTTCAAAATTATAACATTTTATTTAGTTAATCTTAAAATATATATCCAATGTATAATGGTATCCCAAAACTCATTTTATACACATATGTAATTACATCATTGATCTAAATAGCTTATAAAATAAGGGGATTTATACACGATACTATTTGCAGGTTTGGAACAGAGAAAGAAAAAATCGGTCAAGATATTATATCACTAGCAAATCAATTAAACAGATTAGGCCATCGAAAATTTGTGCAGCGACATACCCACCGAAATTTGACGTAATTTCCGACGCCTAATTACGCAGCTGAGTTTCGGTAAATATGGCGCTAGGCTGAAAGACTGAAAGTGGAAATGCCTGGGCACATTAAGTCGGTTTCATAATTAATTTCCTTTATTGAACGGAAAAATAACCCGAGATGGAAGGTGAAATAGGACGATTATAGGAGCGATATTTTTAAAATATAACAACCTTACAGGACTAATTACTAACATCATAAACAAGAATTTCTGTTCCGTAACTTTTGACAAAACATGATAAATATACCAAAAACAAAATATATAAAAAATAAACTTGTAGGTAGTAGGTTCAAACTTGCAAGCATCCTCTCCAACGTCTCCCGCGTTTTGCACAGAGTTATCACCGCTTAGAGCGATCTATTTAAATATATTTATTTTTGTATGAAAGTAAACTAATGTACTATTAAAAGTCATGGAACAAAAGTTGTTTATGGTGTTAGTAATATACAGTCCTACGCGATTGTTAGTGTTTTACGAATAACACTGTATAAAAAAAATATTGGAAAAAAGTATCTTTTTTATTCAAAATGATTAAGTTTTTTACTCAATATGAATTAATTCGAAGCTTCTGCCTACCATTAAAGCAAAGAAATTTTGTCCCAGCGCACGTGTCGCAATTCACACATGTTGTTTAATTACGGTGCCTAAAGATTTAGGAAATTAAATTATTTTTTCAGATCTAAATCTCGTATATTTGTTTTTACAAACAAAACAACGTTTCGCGCCCTTTACGGGTCGAAAAAGACAATGGTTGTGTGAAAAAATTTGAAGAAGAAAATTTGTACTATCGCGAAAACCTAAGAACTCTATATTCCTTATAGATTAACTAGATTTTAGCGATTGACACGTATAATCAAACAAAACGGGCAATGCTCAATTCATATTGCGGTGGAACGGAATGGAAGCGAATTTTTGTAACGATATTGTACATAATCGTAATGAACTTTATGGTCAATTGTGTAGCTTAGAAAATGTCGGGAAGTGACGCGATACCTTCGCATCGACGTAACGTAACGTCGACGAAATACTACAGCCTCAAGGCGCAGTCGCGAGTAAGCTCGCGAAGCAGCGAGCACATGCGCCTTCTCGCGCAGAATTAACGCTTAAGTTCCATTGCGTTTCGCCGCAATGTAAATTGAGCCTAAATGTGTAAAACAACGAGCGACACTGGGAGCAGGAGCGGTATTCTGTAATCGCTGACGTTATGATTCGGTATGGCTCTGATAGCGAAAGTCGTCGGTTGCCGTATCGACAACTTACCGATTATGCTATTCTGTAAATCCACGATAACGAAAATCGTTTCTGCAACCGACGCGTACCGACAGCGATGTGACGTCAGCGTTTCATGATCGAAAAATATACGAAATGGGAACATCCCGACGGGAGACTATGTTTCTCGACCAATCACGATCGAGCGTTCAAATAGTCATTTACAAACACTCTTAACTATGGTTATTTAGTTTGTGCAAAGTTTTGTTACATTCAAGGGAAACGTACTGTTTGTGTTTATTTTTTCTGAATACTTCTGCAAAATGACGGATCACGACATCACGACAAGTAAGCATATTGGAGTTCTGTAAATATTTACTGAGAATTTACTAGGAAAACGTCGCTCACCTTAACCTCTACAATCGCGGCATCACGACATAAACAAGTGATTACAAGACACAGCCAAGAACAAGTCCCTTTCAATTACGAAACATTTTGGCTTGCCTTAAGGCAAAACGTGAATTTTTTCCACTTAATACGATCAAAACACAAATATCTAACAGTGAAATTTAAGAAAGCGCGTCGTTAAGCATACCGACGTAAACAGGGTGCCCTCGAAGAGCCGATAAAAATATCGAACCTTAACGAAACTTAACGAACGTATCGAACCGAATTGTCGTTATGATCGGTTAAAGTAGTTTATAGAATAGCATTTGCCGAGAAAATCGATACCGTCGGTAAAACCGATTAACGAATATCGAATAGCGAGTCTCAACGATTACAGAATACCGCTCCAGGTGCCTACAAATTTGTTAAATTTTTACATTTGATTGACCGCTAACAGGTAAATTTTACCAAAACTGTAAGCACCTATTGATCATCAAATCATACCACGTCGAGTGACACTAATGACTGTAAAAAATCCAGCAATTTGTAGGCACCTTAAGGGAGTCATACTTCTTAAAGCGGAATCGGCTTGAGCCAGTTCGAAAAAACTTTGTCCCATGCAATAAGAGCGAAAAAATCGCATCGACGCCGGCGTTCCGAGCAAAACGTGCAAAGCCGTTTTGAAAAGTAATTGAAAAATCAAAAATGATAGTAATGCAGTTTACGGGACAAATTGAAAACAGTCCTGTAGATAGGAAATTAAATTTTCATCGCACTTGATCGCAAGTAATAGTATAAATTGCAGCAAAGCAGGCAGTGTTTTTATCATACAGCCTTAGAGTGGTTATTTTTCATAAACTGCCATTGCAGGTTTAATTTTTCTTCTTTTTAATTTCCTCGCAATTGATACGACAAGGGCGGAATAGTAATACGAAGTCTGTAACATTCAAAAAAAAGAATGACGTAATTTTAATCCGTTTTTTCGGAACTGTTTAATGTTGTAACATTATACTAAACTGAGTTCAAACTTTAACGTTTTTATAGACATTTGTGAAGCATTTAAGTTATTTTTAACAAACTTCGTAGGCGTTAAGATATACTTGAGGAAACATTATTCGTAATAAATATACATAGGTATATAATTTAAAATCAAGGACACCTAGGGTCATAACCCAGAACTCTACTCAATGCTCAAGTCAGGATTTGTGCAGACTTGAGTATGATTTGAAGCACTGGAAATACGACCCTAATGGCAAGGACTTGAGTATGATTTTCAGTGCTCACTGCAATACTCAAGTCCTGACTTGAGCATTGAGTAGAATTCTGGAATACGACCCTCAGGGTTGTACACTGAAAATCATACTCAAGTCCTTGCCATTAGGGTCGTATTTCCAGTGCTTGAAATCATAATCAAGTTTGCTCAAGTCCTGACTTGAGCATTGAGGGTCGTATTCTAGAACTCTACTCAATGCTCAAGTCAGGATTTGAGTATGGTTTAAAGCACTCGAAATCATACTCAATTCCCTGCCATTAGGGTCGTATTTCCAGTGCTTGTTTCAATTGCACAGGATTGCAATTGAAACACAAGCACTGGAAATATAATAAAATACTTGAGCATTGAGTAGAGTTCTACAATACGACTCTTAGTACAGTTCTGGAATACGACTCTGAGTCATTCGGAATAAGGTGTTCCAAATGTATAGATACAAGGAGTGACATTAATTACTTTTTCGTATTGCAGATTTCCGGAAATAGTTTTCCAGTATCGTAGAATGAAACTATTCACCTAGAGAGCTGAAGTTTACTTAATCATCTCCTTTTAAATCGCATTACTTAAAACAAGCTTTTGATTATAACTCTTAAAAGACGTTTAGTTAGATTTATTATTAAAATCCAACTTCAACTTCCTAGGTGAGTAGTTTTATGCAGTAAAACTGTGTAGCTGCAACAAACATATTCGTTGCGCACGGCGCGCGGCACTGACTGAGCACAAGGCCTCGATAAGTAATTGCGACGGCCGCGGGCAGGCTACCGCCGCCGCGCTGCGGCCGTGCTTTTGGTTCCCAGCAATGCCGCAATACTACCGACCGCCTCCATCGACGATTTTAGTACTCGTACCGAACCACTAGTTAAGAGCCAAAAAATAGTACTTTAGTAAGCAAATTTAAATAAATTATAACAATCTTCAACAACCACGACTTTTACTTCTCCTGCAATAACAAGAACACCTAAAACTGTTTCCGGAAGTCCGGAATCCGAAAAACTAATTAATATTTGGTGGTTTTAACCATTTTATGTCATTCCTTGTATCTATATGTAGACATTTATCTACTCATTCGGAACACTCTATTCCGACGTTGAATTTTTACTCACTGTGATTGCAAGATGATTACATTATTATTTCTTCAATCTGAACTTAGATCTTTAAATGATGGAACCATTTTTTGCACACCCAGCATTGGGGAAAAACGTAATTGCAACTACAAATTACATTTAAAAGATTGTAGTTCAACTACAAGTCCAACAATGCCGTTGAACATGTAGGTTTCATTACGGTCCATGATTTTACAGATTACTCGCACAGCCGACTGCCACACACCGGCCCCGCCCTTTTCATCTGAACAATTAATCACTTACTGAATGACAACCTAGCACTGGCCCCGCCCACTTCGCGCTACGAACGCGTATGCGTTACCATGCATTCCTTGGGTCGCGGGTGGGAAGTCGCCTTTATTCTTTGGAATAACAATCCGCAAAACAAACTTCTTTTACAAAATGTACTTTGTAGTTTTAGTTATATTATCACTGTTAACATCATAGGAGTAAGGTTCAGGTCAGAAAACTAACTACCTAATTTCGAAGGCAATTTTACTTATTTAAATATTCGATTATATTATTGTGAAATATTAAATAATAATTCATGATACTACATTCGAATATTAGGTAATACGTCATAATAATATTCTAGAACATTTAAATAATAAAAATTGCCACCGAAATTCGGTAGAGAAAACTGAAAATTTACTGGTTGCACCAGCGCCTGCCCTTTGGTCCTACAAGATAAATTCTTTTATTTAAAACACAAACCCTCAGAAATACAAAATTCCAGATCAAGCGTAGCTCGTTATCGAAATATAGTATAGAAAGGGAAAGTTTCAAGGTACTAGCGATGTCTGTGAATTACACTATACTCTATAACATAATTATAAACACGTCTTACAACAAGATTACAACTTTTCGACTTAGCATTGAATCACCTGCGACATTAGCAAAAATCTCTGACATTAGGTTTATAGTCGAATGAGTAAACTATTCGTGCGCGCTGATTTTCTTTTAAACTTAATTTTTAACTTCTATCTTTGCTTGCTCTAGTCAGTGTACTAAACGCCATTATGATCCCTGTATTTTTTTTTATCTCAATAATAAAATAAAAAAATTCGTAAAGTAATGGCGCATTCACACCAGGCCGACATGTGGCAAGCGCCTGCCCGCCGAAGGCAGCAAGCTACCCAGTATAAATATTGAGTCGTCGTCAGTTCGCGGTCGCTGTGGACCGAACAAGTTTCAACGTATCTGCGAACGCGTCCGACCATGATAAGACCTTTGTAAGTAAAGGCGGCCTTTGTAAGGCGCGGACCAGGTGTAAATGCACCATAACGTTTTTGGAAAACTGTCAAAATAGATTTAAAAAATATTACGTACGAAATAAAACTAATATATCTTTTTACATATCAAATACAATTCAGTCATAATGAGCACGAGCCACAGGATATTATTTGGCTGGCGCCACATACGTTTGTTTTTTTCAAAACTGTGTTGTCAGTTCACCAAAATTATAATTTCTCGAATTTTGTTACAGAGGATGCGATATTTCGTTGCCTATTTATTTAATTTGCCATCCATTCTCATTCCTTAAAACATAATTTTGTAGTAGCTAAAGTTTTCAGATTTTGTTTTCACTTGCAACTGCTCAGTCTGGTTACCTGAGGTATAAGTTTTTCTAGTTCAGGGACCAGCCTCCAAAATCAGATTATTTATGATATTTCGATATTATGAAGCATTTATTTTTACATGCACTGTTTATGGATACTATGAGATATTTTTTATTAGTTTATTTATTAATAATGTTCTTTCCAGTCTTTGTCTAATTTTCAACTCTCATGTATTCTAAGTTTATACTTTAACAACATTGCAAGGTCAGTGGAGGAGAAATCCAGTCTTGTCGAGAGTCCATGATACTTAAGGCGGTCTCCAATATTGTCAAATTTAATGCTACCAAAACACAGGCGTGTCTATTCTCCACAAAATGTAGTCCCTTTAACCTGACTCCGACTTTTCGTGATATATCCATACCGATAGCTGACCGTCTCCAGCTATTTGGAATGAACTTTTCGTCCGACTTGAACTTCGGCCGATATATTTAATCCATGGCCAAAATGCAGCCAAGAAGCTCAGTATCCTTTCCAAGGTGAGGCGTTACTTCACACCGGCACAGTTGCTTCAGTTGGACCAAGAACAAGTTCTACCGTGTGGAATACTGCTGCCACTGGATGATCAGCTAAATATCAACTGACCACCTTGGATTCAGTTGACAAGCGTGTCAAGATTATAGGTGATTCGGTCTTAGCTGTAGAGCTAAACTCAGCCGTTAATTTGAAATTGACATGCGAAATATGAGGTACATGCAAAGGTACGTCGAAATATGAAAATTGCAACAGACTAAAATGTCCAGACATCTGTGGCCGTAGCATGGCAGTATATGTGTGATAAACCTCTCCGTGACATATTTATTTCACTTAATAAAGCTATGTTGTCCTTTTTTTTTATTGGTATTACTCAATAGGTAAGATACCGCACTAGAGTCAGAGACATTCGTTCTTTTATTTATTAGGTAATGAACTAATGTTATACATTTTGAAGAACAAGGATAACGATATGAAATGCGTATATGCGTATCTTTGTCGTATAATCATCGCCGCGAAAATGATGAAACAAAATTTTTTTCTAGTTTGAGTTTTTACATATTTTACAATAAATTAGTTATTATTTAGTTTCTAATTACTCTCATGTATTGAACTGTATTAAAAATGTACTTACCTTTTTCCAATAATTTATAGGTATCAATTTGTTTGTTTTTATTATTTCTTTTTATCTCGTCTGTCGCGCTCATTTTTACGTTGATAAAATTACTGTGCAGAACTGTCCAAACATTTTATAATCAACGGCGACCTTGCGGCCATATTGGCACTGCGATGTTCTTTTGCAACCATTAGTCGCGGCATTCGCGACAATACAAAAATGTGACGTCACGGTGCTCGCCACATTAGTTTCTGTGGTAAAATTTTATAATACCAGTTTATCATCCGAATTTGACAGTTAAATGTGGATATAATAGCTTTATCGCGGCGCATACTACGGGGGCTAGATACGACGCTCGTTCTATACGGCCAGACCTTTCAGCAGACATATTTCACGTCGCTCATACATTCGGCCACCTAGCTATGGACCGAATCTCTTATTTCTCTGTTGCGGTGTTTTAGAATGATATCACATATTCAACAACCAACGCGCACGAACAGCATAAACCGACCTGTACCATATACACCTTTAGAAGGTGGTATATCCTCCGTTACTTCTTCCTGGTGGACAGCTGGTGTTTGAGCAGCTGTATCTGATCGTGCTGTCGCGTCAGCTGCTCGTTCAAAGTGGCCACGTGCTCTGTTAATACGCTCATTTGTTCTTCGTAGTTATGAGCTGTTGAGTGCAACTCTTCTTCCTGTAAGAAAAATCGAGCTTTTCAAGTCAATTGGTTCCACCTGGATTCAATATGATTGACTTTAGAGTCCATCAACATAGCTAAATATAATAAAAATTGGCTAACATTTTAATAATTAATTAAAAAAAACTTCAATTTGTCTGTAGTTTAAATTGAACCCTTAATGCGTCGCGCAAACGTTTGTCTTGTGTTGGATACAAGCAACCGGCTACCAGAGGTAAATATTCTATTTTCCTAGATTTCATATGAAATCGACAGTCATCGGTTGCGGCAACCGCAATTTGTTTGAAAATAGAATATTCGCTTCTAGTTGCCGGTTCTTCTTCGACTTTATAGTGTTATAACTCCATGGATACAATCGATGATTCCGCCAATGTCAAGTTAAGGAAGACACGCGTTTTTTACTCAAAATTTGACTGGTGTATTTCGATGGAATTCGCCGAGAGGAGAATCTAGCTCGATACAAGCCGGCTGTTTGTATCCAACCCAAGACACGCGTTTGCGCGGCGCGTAAAACAAGTCATAATTTAAATTTTTATTTCTAAAAAAATATTAATTTCACAATATTGGTTATTTTCTCGTCAATTGCATTTTATTTTTTGAATTAATTACAAAATTAAGAAAATCGCAAAATAATTATTAATACAAAGATCGAACACTCAGAAAAAATTCCTTCGATCCGGCCGGATTCGAACCGATGTCTTCTAGCTTACTGTGCCAGACACTATTATACCAACTAAGCCACGGAACGAACCAGCGGACCTCACGAATTTTTCTGTGCTTGCGTATTTGGTTTTTCATCGACTTTTTTGTTGTAGCGCCATCTATGAGAAATCTATGAAAGATTTATCACCCAGTTAGTACCTTTACAGCTACCAGTCCTGGTGAGAGATGTTGCTATTCACTGTATTTTAAATTTTTACTGAATTGATATTCAATTTTTTTTGTGAATTTGCTCCACTAGTTTGTTATAATATAGAGTGATATAGATATAGTGTTCGATCTTTGTATTAATAATTATAACAAACTAGTGGAGTAATTTCACATAAAAAATAATTGAATATCAATTCAGTAAAAATTTAAAATCTCAATATAGTTGTTTCAATATTAATTGGCGACTTTCCAATTTAAACAATACAACTTAAATATTATTATATTGTTTACGTTCAAGTTATAGTTTATACTGCACCCTCACAAAAGTATTGTATTTTTAAAGAAGCCGTTTCGGTGATATTTTGTTTTGTACTACGATGTAATAACCGGCATATTTTAATATATTTGAATATTTGTCATTTTAAATTTACAGATTTCTCGTTTTGCAAGCTGCAGAAATGTAAATTTACATTATTTATTAATGAAATCATAAAATATATCCTGATATAAAATTGACCTCCTCGAAGACGGAAAAACGATTAAACAGAAAACGGAAAGAATGAAGTTCGATCAAAGGACAAGCCCACATCATTTGTTTGAAAAAAATTTACCCCATAGCGCACAGTTTCCCAAAGTGGTATTACCACCCCCTGTGGGTGCTGTAAAGTACTAGGTGAGCATTAGGGGCCTCGGAAGCAATTGGGAGGCGTTGATTCTGTCCAGGGGGTGCAAGCGTAAGTTTGTGAACCTATGCCGTAGCGCTTAATCCTGTTGCTAATGATGATCTCAATTAGAAAGACGCCAGTTAATAGGAAATGAAACTATTTTTCCGGATTTAAATCACGTATATTTGTTTTTTCATACAATCCGACATTTCGGGCCCTTTACAGGTCCCATGGTCACAGTTGGCTGAGGTGGTACAGTCTTCAACCAGTTATGTCTAATATTGATGCAAACCACCCTATTTTTCCACTATAGTTACAATAGTTATTAAATAAATACCTTATTTTTCCAATTTACGCTACATTGAGTTTTACAAATTATTTTATTGAATGAATTTTTTAACACACACACACAGGGAACATGGTTTGGGAAACAGGGAACATGGTTTGGGAAACAGGGAAGATGGTTTCTCCGTACCACCAGTTTGGGATCCAGTATTTCCTCTAATGAAAAATCCCAAACAGACATAAGACTGCAGTACTAATTAATATGTTTTAGTTTATTCTAATTTCTGTTTTAGTTTATTCTAATTTCTATTATTAATTAATAATAAATTGAATTTAATAAAAATTCATTCAATATAATAATTTGTAAAACTTAATGTAACGTAAATTGGAATGTTTTCTTTGTAAAATTAAAAATAAGGTATTTAATTAATAACTGTTGTAACTATAGTGAAAAAATAGGGTGGTTTGCTTATTATAATGTATGTATATAATATACATATATTTAGGAAATTTTAACACATCTAAAATCTAGAAATAGTGAACGACAAATAGCGTATTTTGTAATACTCACAAGTCTACTGATAGTGCCATGCTTCTCTTCCAACGTACGCGCGTCTGCCTGTTTGTCTCGCTCCATCTCCTCGAAGCGCAAGCGCAGCATTTCACACTACACAACAGACAATAGGCAACTTGAAGGGCATTTATGTTTTTCTCGTTGTATTTTTGATATCCATAATATGGAAAGTATGCAATAAGGCGTTAGACCTGGTCTCAAACTAGAGATTTCCTTTTGCACAATGAAAACCTGAGCAACGAAATTAACGGAGCAATCTTCAGAGTTCACAGACCTGGTGCAATTTAAGAAAATCCGAAAATCGAAAAATTGAGATGTGTGTCTGTGAACTTAAAATTCTTTCCTTACCAGAAGGCCCATGACCAGCAGTGGGACTTTATGGATAGATGAGATGACAATAATAACATGCCAGACAACTTCACCAATAGCCTGGTCTCAAACTAGGGAATTTCCTGTACTATGAGTACCATAGGAACGGAGTTCATTCCGGGGCTTTTGCAAGAACACCCAGATCAGAACTAATTTAGAAAGTTCATATCTCCACCTCCTATCGGGAATCCAACCCGGAACCTCCTCATGCAGCGCTCACAGCATAAACCGTTGGGCCATCGTGGTCATCAAATATATAAACGCCCCGACAAGTTACTATTTAAGTTGCCAAATATAGTGAAGCTTACCTCCTTCACATAATGTTCAGTCTTGCTCTTCAATTCTTCCTTCTCAGCTTTCAGCTCGCTAGTTTTATTCCTGAAGTACGTCGTCATTCGGTCTTCCCTTGCTTGCACCTCTTGGTTCAACAAGAACGGCACCTCTAAGCTTCCTAATAGGCCAGTCACTCTGCCTTCTCCATCTACAGAGGTCTCATTGAAATGGTTGAAATCTCCACTATCATGACCGTCACCTCTTCTTCTTTGTGATGCCGATATATATTTCCCTATTTCTAGTTTAAGGCTTTCGTTTTCCATTTGGAGTAGCTCGTATTTCATTCTTAGTTTTTGGTTATCCTGTAAATATCATTTGTTCATGGTTTAGTAATGGTTATTATTGTAATAACAATCAAGCCTGGGCAGCATTTGAAATAGAAATACGTACAAGATACCCTAAGGTATTAATCCCCTAGCATTTTGGTTAAGAGAGCCTCATTAAGCATTCTACAGAAAAGTGTTAAAGAAATTCCCGCTTTGTGGTTGATATTTTTATTATGTATTTAACATTGACTTATAATAGAATAGAATAGAATAGAATAGAATTATTTATTTCGGATCATGATCCATAATAATGTTAGTAATACAGTAAATTTTACTTACGTTCTATGGTTAGTACAATACAAAATTACTTAATTTTAGTGAGAAGTGAGTCTAGACCACTACCCTACGCACGTGTAGTTGCACCCAATGTAGTTGGTAGGGGCAGTCCAGCCTATTGGCAACAACGGCTAGGATGCTATTAGCGCTGCCGCGCACACGCATCATGAGTGAGGCAGCCTTCTTGCGCATAATGGCATGAAAGCCATCTGTGTGCGCCTCCGTGAACATGCCGGATGCACTACAGTGTCGCGGCAGCCCCATCAGCATCCTAAAAGCGTTGTTATATTGTACCCTTAATGTATTCAGGGTTCTCTGCGTATACTTCACCCACAGGCTGCTTGTGTAAAAGTTTTGGCAATATGCTTTAAATAATGAAATTTTTACTTCTTTGGTGCAACGAGCAAACCTGCGGGCGAGCATGTTACATCTAACAGACAGGGCCCTTCTCTCCCTCTCCATGTCGGCACATAATTACATGGACGTCGGGCCCGCGCTAAAAAGTGTCCGAACTTATAGGGCGTTAAAATCGTATACAGAGCGTCATTCACGCTTTAGTCTTCGCCTCGTTAAGCATTCTACAGAAAAGTGTTAAAGAAATTCCCGCTTTGTGGTTGATATTTTTATTATGTATTTAACATTGACTTATAATTACATGGACGTCGGGCCCGCGCTAAAAAGTGTCCGAACTTATAGGGCGTTAAAATCGTATACAGAGCGTCATTCACGCTTTAGTCTTCGTTTGTTCGACTGACAGCGAAGCAAGCAAAATTAGACAGTAATGCGATGACATTACAATTTAAATTCAACGTTTTAGCTTTTTCATATTCCTTTACATGTCACTACGTTTAAATAGGTTGACTTGGGACATTTTTTTTGTGGTTTTTGTATTAGACCCGTCGTCCATTTATTTGTAAGTCAATGGTATTTAAGTATTAAAGATCAAATTGACTCAATGAGTTTCAAATGTTATCCACGGGCGCCTTCAAATAAGACGCTGATACAAGGTTTTTCAATAGGAACATGACAATTTTGTATTTCAATTTGACCAACGCGAGCACGTTTGCAGTTAGTCAAACAATCCATCTACTGAAGAGTGAGTTCGGTAATCGTGTAATCACTTTTAAATTTAAAATCTATAAAGGTTAAGTTTGTTTCACACTGTTCTACTTAGGACCAAATAGTCGGTAAGGCGGTCAGGTATCTTAGGGCATCAACTGTACTTTGCATTTCTATTTCAATTGCCTCCGTGGCCGAACGGTTACCTTACCGGACTGCCACACAGGGGTCCAATATTTGTATGGCCTACATTTATTTCTCTCGTGAGTTTGGGTGGGTGGGTGCACCCGAGACACAGGGTTACCCTAGTGTGGTGCTAGGTTGATTATTGTTATTATTATTATTAAAAACTATGTAAATTGTACTTTAAATACATGTAAGAAAATAAAGCACGTATTTTGACAAACCATGAATATAAATAAATATAACAAATAATAAAAAAACAAATAAAACACGTGAGAAAACCACCCATCTATACAAAATAGACATTGTGTTAGTGACAATTCTAAAATAAATGATGTCTTCTCAATACAAGAACACAAGGTAATTCACACTATAATTTTTATACTTAACTAAAATGTTTGTGTTAGTGTTTTAAAATGGCAATACGAAGGTAGGTTTAATGCCATCTTATGGTGTTTCTGTTAACAATAAGCTTGAATTTAAAAATAACTAAATTAATGGTTCAATGGGACATACAAAGCACAAATAGGCATGCATTTTTCCTGCCATATAGATTTGGCTACGCAGATATTCTATCACGACACGTTGTATCCAGTTAAGACGAAGTTATCACCAGTGTCGGAATAGGCTGTTTCGAATGAGTAGGTAAATGTGTACATATAGATACAAGGAGTGACATAGAGTAGTCAAAACCCCCAAGTAGTAATTAATTCATTATTTCCGAAAATAGTTTTACTGCATTGTAATGTAAAACAACTCACCTAGGAAGCTAAAGTTGGATTTTAAAGTCAGTCATTATACTGACTTCGAAACAAAATTCAAGAGATTTAGCTATCTCTTACCTTTCACCAATGTAAACATTTTTTATGAGCTAAGAACAACAACTTGTTTTAATATATTAGGATATTGTAGATACTTTTATATTCACCCATAAGATACAGTAAAGCTATTTCCGGAAACCCGGAAGGCGAATAAAGTGATTAAATAATATTTGGTGGTTTTAACTACTCTATGTCATTCTTTGTATCTCTATGTTTTTTTTTTAATTTATTTTTCTTGTCAATTACATTTTTTTTACAAATAAGATAATGTTCTCCCATGTAGACATTTATTTACTCACTTGGAACACTCTATACCACTGGTTATCACCGATTGTCATGAACTGATGACAATAGGCAATATAAGATAACAAAACGCATGCGGAGCAAAATCTGCGTGACAAGAAAAAACTTCGGGAGCATCTCACCTGTTCTACATTGTGCACTTTCATACTAAGCTGCTCATTTACATTCAAGTCATCTACCGAACTCAGAGCATCTTCGCTTCCGATCTGAAATGGTTCACCATACTGGAAATTATGTTTCATTGTTTTCACATCCATTATTATCATGAAGATATAAATGTATAATTAAAACACACAGTGTTCACCAAACTACTACATGTACAGTGCTTAGTTTTGCAACTGAATATGAAACGCGTAGGCCGTCGCCCACATGTGGCACTAGTATAATACGAGCAGATAAATATTCATTTCTGTTCATAAAACCGTGCCTTTGTTTCGAATTTCTAGTAGTCTGGCCCCAATAGTATCTTCTACTAACTAGTCTCAAATGTCACAAGTTAATGAAATTTGCTCTAATCAATGAAAAATTAATATGTTACAGATAGTGACAACAAATATAATAGACTTCAGACACAATATTACAATAAATACAGACAGATCGACTCATCCGTAGAACAAAGCCCTATGTGCAAGACTGCTTATTCTCAGGAAATTGTACATTTCATTCGCTGTTCTTAGCTGTGGATATTAGAGCGACAGTTGATCGATTTTATATTTCCCAAACGAAATAATACATAAAATTCTGAAAACACCTATAGCTAGGCCTTATTTTAAATAACTAGATTATGTACTTATCCTCTTTTCGTTGTATAATCACATCGGACTTTGTTCTTCGGATGAGTCGAGATATATTATAATGAATACTACGGGCCTACCGCTTAACTTAGTCGGTACATGAGGTAGCTGCGCGGTGCGGGAGGAGAGACGGTTTACTTTAGGGCGCTAGGAACGTGCCCGTATGTCGTAACATTTTATTTATCATTAGACGACAATCGCGTCTAGCCTGTTCCCATATCACGACTACCTGTCGTGACTGCATCGTGGACATTTATTTTATCGTCGAACGACTGTCGTGTCTAGCTGTTCACACTAGATCGGGACGATAATTCATCGGTTTACCGCCTTGTCGTTTGCACGACAGAATCATTTTTACAATCACATTTTTATCGTGACGTTTTATTTATCGTTGGACGACTGTCGTTCTAACTCTTCCCTTGTCACGCCAGTCTGTCGTCTTAACGGCAAAAAAGTCGTGAACGACAGTTAATCGTGTTGCAATTATATGTGAACAACTTCATTTAAATATGCAAGACTTGCACTTTAAATTGCACGACTATCTGCCGTCACGACATAATGGGAACTGATGATATTAAATAACAAGTTGATTGAAAAATGTGCCAAATGGCTTGTCTATTCATTTAAATTATCAATGAAATAGTTTTTTTTTATTAACGTTTCACATAACACCTATTGACTAATTTGGTAGGTACTTTTTTCAATGAACTTGCTATTCCACATCGTCAGAAAAATCTTGTTGAAATTATTCCGTGTGCAGTGCGACAAAACTGTTACTCCCGCACCGCGCAGCTACCTCAGGAACCGATTCACTTAAGCGCTGGACCCTTAGCTTGTTAGCCCCATTATCACATCACAAATATCATGATTTATTAAACCCATAGAAATCCAAGAAGACAAATAACACGCCGCGAGACATTGCTGTTGCTGCTGCCTGTCGCTAGTCGTTAGGTTACAAAATCAAGCTTTAACCTTAGTTCAAACACAGCTGTTTGAACCACATAAAAATGTCATGTGTATGTGTAGACACAGCTGCGATAGTGAGACGTGTGAGGGAAGTTACACATCAGTGCATATGTACTCGGCAATAGGCACTATTGGCCTTAAAAATAAAATAAAAAGGCGCTATTGGGTGCATCTAGTGAATGTTCTCCATAAAGTACACCAGCTACTACCGCACTTGGTTTTTAACAATCGTATTTGTTTAATATGCGTACAGCTGGTCCTTTTTCCTTTTCATAGATAAATAGTGTTAAAATCATGATGACTCACTTTGGAAATACGCGGCCTTGGCAAAACTACAGAGCCCCGTTAGGCACGCCATAAAAATAGATCCGCGTCGTCAGGTATGAATGAAAATAAGGAAGATGCTAATGTAAACAAGCTATGCGTTGTTGAACCGCGCGGATTTCGTCCTGTCCGAACTAACCCTTAGCAAGTTATTTTTTCCATTAGGAACCCTTTCACGGCAATAAGATGGTAGTTAAAAATAACTGTTATGTAGAACACTAACTTACCAAACTTCCACCTTCAGATAAGAAATCTCCATTACAACTAGCTGCTTGACTATTCGGCGGAATATGATGAATTTTATTCGGCGTGCCACCAAGTCTTTCTTTCTGTGTCTCTTCCAGAGCAAATTGTAGTTCTTGATTTTTGTTTCGTAGCTTCGCAATTTCACACTTGTATTTACTGTCGCTCTCATTTATGAGCCGCTGGTAGTCTTCTAGTGTGGCTTTAAGTTGAGACACTTCGAATGTTTTGTCTGCAAGCTGTTAAAGATAATGTTCCTAAGCGCTTTTGGTACCACGTACAATATATAATATTTTATATTTAAAACTCCTTCCTTCCTTCGGTCCTTATATTTAAAACTTTACTGAGAAGTCAAAAAAATTGCAATTTGAACTTTAATTCTGATTAGATTGATTCCTCTCATTTTGTATGCGAAATATAAATAATGTTCGATCTTTGGTTAATATAACAAACTAGTGAAGTTATTTCACAAAAATATATGAATGTCAGTGTGGTAAAACATCTTGATATTCCATAAAATCAATATTACACTTAATACAGCGACATCGACGTCAGCTAGTGGTAGCTGTAATGGTACCGGCTGAATGAGAAGCTTCATAAGTCTCTCACTAGGTGTCGCTTAAAAGCCGAAAAAACCATAAAAAACATGTAAAACAAACACATAGAGGAAGTCATAAGATCTGCGGACTCAACCTGTAGGTCAGCAGAGAATCGCCCTGGTTTGGCGTAGTCGCAGGTTCGAGTTCTGTCAGATCGAAGGAATTTTTCTTTGCATTCGATCTTTGTATTAATAATAATTAAAAACTATTATAGTGAAGTAATTTCGCAAAAATTTGATGTATATAATGATAGTAAAAACATAATTATCATGATATTCAATAAAATACACACAGTTATTTCACAAAAATACAAATAATCAGTGTTGTGTCCCAACGCTGTATTAAAGTCTACCCTATTTCCTTATGACAGGATGCAGCCCAGGCGCTGTTGCCATTGAATCTCCACAAAACATTATTTTATAAAGTTAAAATAACAGAATTATTTGTTCATTATTATCAGCTGATGTATGGTCAAAACTCTTTACTAACCCCTTGTAACCAAAAATAGTTATACTACAAGTTATGTTTAACAAGATAACAATGAACAATGGTATTAAACTTCAATAGAATAACATTGTGGTATCATATATTTTCATTTCTGTTTATTCCAGACCTGGGAAGCCCATAATGACTTCTACTTACAAATCTTCGGTAATTACCAATAATTACAACTCGGATTCAAGATCATCTGAATTCAAGGACTGTAGAATTTCCTTGCATTCAATTGGTTTTTTTTACATAACATTTATTGCATTGATATAATTGTTCCGTAGTGGTTCGTACCGGGTGTACCCAAAGGCATATGTGATTGATCACACATAAGAAGTGGTAGTCTACATGAAACAAATTTAGCATACAAAAGTTCACTAACTTTGTTTGTGAAATCTTTCAACCTCTCTCCTGAAAAGTTGTCATATATGTCATATACAGCAAGAGTATAGTAAGTATACAGCAAGAGTGAGAGTCAATATGATTGTATCATTGTGACAATGCAAAGTCTTTCATCATCATCCAACCTTTTTATCACCCTTTTCTCTAGTTCCTTGCCACTTTTGAAATTTTGAAACATTTTCTAATACTTTTTCTTCGCCATTGTTACTTTGCTTTGTTCCATCATCATTCCCATCAAAATTCTCGAGGAGAAAAGACCTCTTCAATCATATAAACCTGAACTGCTTATAAAAGCAGCAATATATTACATACAAACACAGGCCCTTTTGGGATAAGTTTTTTCTAATCTGTAGTGATTTTATATTATAACATGTTTTTATATCATTGTTTTTGTTGTACCTGTTTTTGTTACAGCCTGTCCTACCTTTCCTGTTTCTTTTCCTTCACCTTTTCCCAACTGTTATACCTTGTACAATAAATTATGTGGACCAAGTGTTACTTTCTATCATTGTTATGCAAGATACATACATGTGACATCATTATTGAGAAATAATTGTATTGTATAATATTATGGCTTACCTGTGAAGCATACTGTGCATTTTCCAAGATCTTCTTCTGAAGTTCCTCTTGCAGCAGCCCAGAGTCCAGTGGAGCTGTGTTACTGGTAGAAGGTTGTTTATCATCTGTTTTACTCTTCGATTTCTTTGTCAATTTTAACTGAAAATATTTTTATTAACACTTTCACATGCAACAGAATCAGTGCTGAGTTATCGTGTTCAATGCAGAGATACAATCAAATTTTTATCAAGAGAAGAATTTAATACAACTACTGTTCAACAGTATTTTGATAAACCAAATTCTAACATTTATTTTTGCTTATAAAGTTAGCACACAAATTAAGTATTATAAACAAATGAAAGCAAATAAGAAATATAAATAATGTACAGTCAACGGAACATCAAGCTACACATTGACATATCTTGTTCCATTGCATTGGAGGCAATTTTCTAACAAAAATGTGTAGTCTGGTGTGCTGTTGACTGTACATAACTTTAGTGTGCATAACATGAAAACAATCAGAAATATCATCATCAACCCTTTTGCCCATCCCACTGTTGGACACGGATCTCCTCTGAGGTGAGGGTTCAGACCATAGAGCACCATGTTGGCCAAACGCGGCTTGGGGACTTGTCACGTTTTTAGAGAATTGTGAACCTTCTTCGACATACAGGTTTCATCATAATGTTTTTCTTCACCGAAAAGCTCATGGTAAAATTCAAATTAAATTTACATTTACTTTTTGCACATAAATTCTGAAAACTGAGACGTGCGAGCCCAGATTCGAACGCACGGCCTCTGCTTGAGAGGCGGTGGGTCAAACCTTTGGGCTACCATGGCTTTTCAGATCAGAAATATAAATATTATGCAAAACAATGCTAGTTTGCAAGGTTTGGTTTCAAGTTGACTTTGTTACTGACCTGGAACGACTCGAGCTCGTCCTGAAGGACGGACACACGCCGAGTGAGCTGCTGATTCCGAAATGTTAACGAGTCTATTTCTAATTCTCCTTTCCTCAAACTTTTTTCCTTCTCCTTTAATGCTTCTCGAAACTCATTCGATTTCGCCTGTTCATCTAAAACACCCTTTTTTAACACCTTCACGTGCACCCTCAACTGTAACAACGGAAACAACAAATTTACACAAATTGCCGACCGTGTTTCGTAAACTACAGATCGCTATAGCGATTACCTTTGAATACTCCGAAGCCAACTTCTGATACTTCGCCTGAATATCTCCTGAAGGCACACCTTCCATCGCTGTGTTTTTCAGGAGTACATAACTGTTTTATATTACGGTATTTATTACTGTTTATTTTGCGATTTCACTGTGCCTGTCTTGAACACCCACTTTTTCCCCGAAGGAAGTTGACAGTTATTTGACACTAATGACAGCGACTGATATATTTTTTAAATTCTTTATGTGCAGAGAACTTTAGGGTCGTATTCCAGTACTCTACTCAATGCTCAAGTCGACTTGAGTATGATTTCAAGCGGAGTTTTTATTCCAGAACATTACTCAAGCGTAGAATCTGTAATCGGAGTTCACCTGAGTAATGTCAGAGGAAGTGACAGCTTGTGTCTTAATTTTAGAACAATGCTTGAGATTTGTTTCAGTTTTACTGTTTCCTAGGTCTTCGACGGAGGATCTATGGTTCGGAGTGTTAGCTGATACACGTGTTTGGAATTTGGTTATTTTAGGCGATTGTTCCACAGTCTCTGAGCTGTTTTATATTAGTGTATAGTTGTGTTTTATGTTTACCTGCTTGGGTAAGTGCTTAATAACTAACTAAACTCCCTCCCTTCCGTTGTTTACGTCGTAAACAATGGACAGGGTTCCTCCCGATCCCCCTGACCCTCCGGACAGGGATCTGTCTCCAGTGCCAATGGAGTTATCTCCTGCTGTCTTTACGCCTTATGCCACAAAACGACGTCTGGATATTGATCATGAGTCTCAACCAGAACCCAATAAAAAAGCTATAACGGATTCACTGCAACAACCGTCGTCCACACCCCCGGTTACAAGCCAATCCAGTGATCCCAAGGCAATTTACACTCACCCGTCGCTGACAGAAATGCCCAAACTGTATTCGGAACAGGATAAAGGTCCGTTTATTGTCCATGTTTCACGACAGGAGACAACTCCCTCGTCTGGTACTACTATCCGCCCCATAATCTTTGGTCAATTTTTAAACAAAAATAAAATTAGTAATGTTGTTTATGGTGGAATCAAAAAGGTTGGTCGGAACAGAATAGCTGTGGAATTTAAGACTGGTAAGGACGCCAACGAGTTTATCAACAATCATTTCCTACCTTTATATAAATATGAAGCTGTGATTCCGAACTACAATGTCACACGCTTAGGGCTCATCAGAGGTATCCCTACGGAGTTGACAATGGAGGAGCTAGTAGAGGCTATGGTTACACCTGACTATTGTGGTGTTGTGCTCAAAGCTAGAAGACTAAACCGCAAACAGATTGATAATGGAGTTACTACATGGGCCCCCACCCAAACGGTCGTACTGACATTTCAAGGTCAAAATCTACCCTCGAGAATTTTCCTCTATTACACGTCTATAGTAGTAGATGCTTACCAGTTGCCCACAATACAATGTAACAACTGCTGCCGTTTCGGGCACATTAAGACCCAATGCCGATCCAAGCCTAGATGTTACAGATGCGCCCAATCTCACCCCGGGGAGACTTGCTCAGTAGTGGAGGATAATGCTACTTGTTTGCATTGTTCAGGAACCCATTTCGCCACAAGCAGGAACTGCCTTGAGCACTCCCGGCAAAAATCTATCAAAATGCGTATGTCACAGGACAATATATCGTTTCAGGAAGCTGCTGCTCTCTTCCCAAATGTTAAAAGATCATATGCGGACACATCAAGGGTGTCCACTAGCATACCCACTACACTTTCACCACCCTTCCCAACACAATTGTCTCCCTCTACCCCGCTAACACAGTCTTACAGAAAAACAGTATTTCTGACACCTCGCCAATCAGGCCCTTTAGGGAAAAGTTACGACAGAGAAGCACACAACAATATAATTAGAGATTGTCCTTCTACTCTTCCTGATGGCTGTGCTTTAGGTAACCCCTCAAACACAACAGAGACCTCCCCTAATGATGACTGCCTTGACCTTCTATGGTTACTGGTCATTAACATTCTAAAAAAATTCAGTGATGTCCCACTACCGCCCAACGTTGCCCCAAAAATTTTACCTCTTTTAAATCTACTCACTAAAAATGGCTCTGAATATTGTTCAATGGAATAGTAACAGTCTAAAATCCAAAAAACATGAATTCCAACATATAATAAACACAATCTCTCCGTTAGTCCTTGCCATCTCGGAGACGTGGTTTCCCAGGGACTACATCTTCAATGTGCCCGGATTCTCGTGTCTCCGTGATGACAGGGATGATGGACATGGAGGGAGCGCACTTTTTGTTAATAAATCATTGCTCTTCTCCCAAATCCATCTCCCCTCACACAATAGAGATATACTTAACGCCGTAGCAGTAAGGATTGATGATATCTCTTTTGTGTCAATATATATTCCCCACCCTAATTTTCTTGTTTTGCAAGATCTTCGCTCCATTATATCAGTGCTCCCCTCCCCTATAGTTGTTATGGGCGATTTTAACGCGCACCATGAGTCCTGGGGATCTTATCGTTCAGATTCATTTGGCACCCTGCTTATTGACCTCCTGGATGAGCTGGATTTGTGCGTTATAAATAACGGCAGCCCCACAAGAAGGCCCAACCCAACTCAGAACCCATGCAGTGCAATAGACTTAACAATTTGTTCCCCGCAGTTGGCTTCTCTTTTAACATGGTGCACTCTCAAAAGTACATATGGAAGTGATCACTACCCCATTCTTATCTCTATGCCGGATAAAAGATTAAAAGTTCATTACACTCCCCCACTTTTAAAATTTAGATTAAATAAAGCTGACTGGTCATCTTTTTCGATGGAAATCAATAACAAAGTGGAGTCCCTCCCTGACGTGACGCCGGACAGTTGTCTTACGGCATACAGGGCATTCAAGGAAACCCTTTTAACGTCAGCACACACCAATATCCCTCAGAAACAAACAACGCGCAGAAGGATTTCACCTCCGTGGTGGGACGCTGATTGCACGGACGCCATCCGTAAAAGGAAGGAGGCAGAAAAGAAGTACAATGATCTAATGTCTCAGGAGAACTTTCTACACTACAAGCAGGTAGCAGCCCAATGTAGAAGGGTTCTGGCCCCAAAGAAAAAACATGGTTGGACAAATTTCTGTGAAAGCATGTCACCTCGTACTCCATCATCCGTAGTCTGGAGACAGATTAAAAGATTCCGCGGCTCTCTACGCCCTAAAGGAAACACCTCAAACGACCCCTCAGGTTGGATTCACTCATTTGCAGACAAGCTAGCACCCCCATCAGTCCCAAACAAGGACAATCTCCCATTGCATACTTTCACCTATATCTCGGCTTCTGAAGAACTTGATGGTCCTTTCTCTCTACTGGAATTGAATATGGTATTAACTGGGCTTAAGGATACTGCTCCGGGAATAGATGGCATCCCATATTCATTCCTCGTAAACTCAACGGAAAAAACAAAATTATATTATCTAAAATTAGTTAACACCTTCTTCGACGGGGGTATCATACCGGATGAGTGGAACAAGCAAATTATCATCCCTCTTCTTAAGCCCGGCAAAGATCCCCTCGACTGCAACTCGTACAGACCGATTGCCCTATCCTCTACCCTATTCAAAGTGATGGAACATATGATAAGGAATCGACTGGAATGGTTTTTAGAGAGGCACGGTCTATTGGCAAAAACTCAATTCGGGTTCAGAAAGGGATCCAGTACACTAGACAGCTTGAGTATCCTAACCACAGATATTCGTTTAGCATTTCAAAAAAAACAGTATGTCGTAGGCGTGTTCCTGGATATAGCAGCCGCCTACGATAACGTCCTTCTTCCGGTGCTAAGAAGTAAGCTACGACAGCTGAGTGTCCCTGAGAAGTTGGTTCGTTTTATTGTTAACTCGATTTCAGCCAGATCTATCGAAATTCGCTGCCATGGTACTTCTATTCCTCCCCTATCTGTCTGGAAAGGCCTCCCCCAGGGCTCCGTACTTAGTCCCCTGCTCTACAATGTTTACACGCTGGATCTGGAAATGACGGTTAACTCGTTCTGCCAGGTCCTGCAGTATGCTGACGATGTAGCCCTGTATGTACGATCAGAATCAGTCCAGGAAGCAACATCACGCCTCACTTCTGCCTTAACCTATCTGAGCGATTGGTTAGCCGAGCATGGCTTGTCATTGTCGGTTCCCAAGTGTTGTTGTGTTGTATTTTGTAGAAAAAGGAATATCCCATCCCCCCAGATTTTATGTCAGGGTGACTACATTCCCGTAGATACACATGTCAAATTCTTGGGCATGTTTTTAGACTCCAAACTAAGTGGGATTCAACACTTTAACTACATCAGCGGTAAATGTGAGAAAGGTGTTAACATTCTCCGTACCCTCGCGGGTATTTGGTGGGGTGCACATCCTTTTACCCAAAAACTGCTATATAACGCAATAGTCCGTAGCCATTTGGATTACGGCTCCTTCCTTTTGGATCCATGTAATAAATTACCTCTGGATAAAATAGTTAAAATACAATCTAAATGTCTTCGCATAATTTTGGGCGCTATGAAATCATCCCCGATTAATGGACTCCAAATCGAATGCGTGGATCCTCCCCTTTACCTTCGTAGGCAATTCCTTAGTGATCGATTTTTTATTAAAGCAGTGCATCATGCTTCTCACCCTCTTCTGGAACGGTTACAGATGTTGTCGCAGGCGACGAGGGAATCTGCTAATTATAAAACGCCGTGTGTGCTCCATAGTTTTAACAAATTCTGGAAACCTTCCCTGCCCATAGAGCAGTTCACTCGACTCCCAATATTTAACAATAATTTTAAATCACTAACATTTAAACCAGAGATCATCCTCAATTTTGGCATTAACAAAGATTCTCCTCACGCATCTAAACTGTTAAAAGAAAAATTAGCTACCAAATACGAAGGCTGGCTTCCGATTTACACGGATGCCTCTAAATTGCAGGAAGGTGGTGCTGTAGGATCAGCCGTATGGATACCTGCCTACAAAGTACTCCTTAACTACAAACTCCCACCGCTAACCTCTGTGTTTACCGGAGAAGCGGTCTCTCTCCTTGAGGCAATCCAGTTTGCTGAATCCCATAATTTAGGTAAAACCATTATTTTTAGTGACTCTCAAAGTTCCCTCCAGGCAATATTATCTAATCCGTTCCGCCTCAAAAACAAGTTCCCCATTATTTTGAAAATCCGAGAAGTATTGTACCGATGCCAACTTAAACTACTTAACATTATCCTGGCATGGATCCCAGGGCACTGCGGTATTCCCGGTAACGAGACTGCAGACTTATGTGCTAAACAGGCCATTACCAGTGGCTCCCCAACTTATGACAAAGTGTACCACCATGATCTTCTCACCCTGGCGCATGATCATCTACTGAGATCATGGCAGGTCGATTGGCAAAACACCAGAAATCGGGCAGGTAAATACTACTACGAGATTCAAAAATGTATCCCAAACAAACCCTGGTTTTTTAAACAAAAACTGTTCAGTAAACAGGCCGTATCCATCATCTGTCGCCTAAGGCTTGGGCATGCATGCACTCCCGTCCATCTTGCTAAAATTAGGATAAGGGATACCTCTCTGTGTGAGTGTGGCGTTGAGGATGGCACCACAGATCATGTTCTTTTTAACTGCCCTAAGCTGAACATTTCTCTTTACGATTTACTCCCTCAAGATGTCCCTCGTCCAACCAACATAAAGTGCATCCTCGAGATGTCCAAGCCCTCCCCTTTTAAAATTTTAAAAAAATTTTTGGCAATTAACCAATTAAAATTGTAAAATGTTTACCTTTTTCTGTTTTTTCCCTTTTTGTATTCTATCTAATTATTTATTTACTTTTAATTTCTTATATAACCCCTATCTAAAACTACACTGCTTGCATTAACTCATCATTAATATACCTATAACTTTTATTAACAACCCTGTTTTATTAGGCTATGCTTTGTGTTGTCCTGTGATGTTGCAACTGTGTGCTTTATTTTAGATAAACCCGCTTCGAGTCTCACAGACAGCAGTAAGGATCAAAATTATATTTGAAAACAAATCCACTCCTCCCGTGTAGAGGCTACCTACGACGTGACATTGGCGGAATTGTGAAAGTCACAAAACAAGCCACTAATAAAGAAGAAGAAGAAGAACTGTTTCCTAAACGGTACTCAACTGTAAAATCTTGTCTTGAGTGTTGTCAAAATATGTATTTACTTGAGTGAAGTCCGGGTTGCGCTTGAGTACATAATAATCGGTGAAAAAATTACAAGATTACGATGAAACCATTTGAGAATTTTGATCTTTATCAAAATATATCAATGATGAATATCATACTCAATTGCTTCAGATGTTGAAAGACCTACAAGATCAGTACGACATGGAAAATTTGGTAAAAAAATAAATTTACCCTATCATAGCAGATGAGTGAAATCAGACAACCATGGTTACCCAATCGCACCTGAAATACAGATTCTGGCTTAGAATAATAACGCATAGAAACCTAGTCCGCACACGCTAAGTGAGACAAATTGAAGCGCGCCCAATGGGCCTACACGAGCGGGCGGGCCTTCAGTGCTCAATGTCAACTTGCATCGCGAACAGATCAAGAATTTTAGCTAAAAATGACGAAATGTGCGGTAAATGAGTGTAAAAATACGTCGGACAAACATAAAATAGATACTAATATTACATTCCACAAGGAAGTAACGCGTTTCAACTTGTATTTTTATATAAATATTCACAAAAACCGAAAATTAACCTACTATTAAAACTAGTCTACATTAATTTGATTTTTGCCTCTCTTGTAACAGTTCGTTTGATGTGAAACTATCATTCTATGCGTTATTATTCTAAGGATTCTGGTTTGTTTACGTTTGTATGTACTGGATCATTAAAGTTAACTATTCTTTTATGGGTAACTGTAGGTATATGATTTTATTACGATATGATTCCGGAGTATCTGTTAAGAGTATCATTTCCTAAGTATAAGACTTACATTCAAAGTAACTTATAAAATGGCGTTTTCAAATTTAATATTTTACCAATGGAATTATTTGATTTTGACCAACTAGAATGTTATAATTTAAACTTCTAAGTTAAAATCTAGGTAGTTTCAATAATACAAGCTTTGTTTTGTTGATAGGCATATAGATAATAACAACTTTTCTTAAACGCTACATTGGTTTAAAAATTTCCAATGATAATACATATCATAGCAATTTAGGAATTGTAGCGATCATCGCCGCCTGTGTACATTTTTTATATCCCTTTCGATCAGCGTAATAAATAATTTTCATTTCCAATAGTAAATTTCAGCGTAACGTATTTGATTTTGACAATGTTAAAATTCTTCCTATAATGAAAGGCAAAGAGAACTGAGGCGATACAATCAAGTAGTAAAAGACAAATACGAATGAATGAACGAAAATCGCATAGAACCATGGATAATCCTAACCCAAACTTGAGTGAAAACTTGAGTGTAGTTCAGCTGAGTACAGCACTGAGTACTATTCAAGAATAAACGAAATGCTTAAGACTTGAATCAATGCTCAAGCCTTGCTTCAATGATTGATGATCACGGCGATACTTGAGTCACGTTCGAATACTTGAGTCACGTGGAATACTACCCTTAAGACTATTTTTTCCCATCCTCCAATTGTAGAGTACATACTAGACCACAGAACGTTTAGAGGGTACAGAAAACATAAAATAAAAGAGGGAATTACTTTTCTCTTAAGGGCGGGTTTTAATAGTTACATTTTTTACACGAATTAATTAATTAATTTTTAGTTTATGTACGTTGTGCGTTTCTTGATTACTAGTTACCATTAAGCTGATGGCTCTGAAGCCAATGCTTTATAAACAAATAATAATTTTCTCTTAAATTTATGGCAACACCATTTCTGTTGATGTGTCGTGATTGTCCAATAATTTTTTTACAAAATTTCGGAATTTATGAAAGAAAAACAATAATTTCCTAATAACTTTTGTTGTATTTATACTGCTATTATTATTCCATCCATAAATGATACAGTCATGGAGGACAGGTAAGTTACAAACCGAAAATTCGTTGTCTTAAATTGCAACAGGTAAAACTAAGTTAGAACAAAGTAGTTTATGACTAAATCGTCGTTATTTTCGCAGAACCATGGAATCGAGTTGTTCCACATTTAACGATATCGACAACGAACACCCTAAGAGCATTATCCACATCGATATAGATTGCTTTTACGCTCAAGTGGAGATGGTGCGAAGTCCCGAACTGTGCACTGTTCCACTCGGCATCCAGCAGAAAAACATTGTGGTGACCAGCAACTACGAGGCCCGCAATTACGGAATCCAGAAATGCATGCTCGTTACAGAAGCCTTAAAACTTTGTCCCAATTTAAAACTGGTAAATGGAGAAGACTTGCATGATTACAGAGCAGCTTCTAACAAGATTTTTGCAATCCTACAGAGCTGGAAATGCCCTGTCGAGAAATTGGGTATGGATGAAAACTTTATTGATGTCACAAACTTAGTACAGGAGAGGTTAAAATCTACTGATGTTAACAATATCACCCTGAGTGGTCACCTTTATGAAGAACCCAGCATGGAGTGTTGTGGATGCCATAACAGACTGAAGATAGCATCACAAATAGCAAGTGAGGTGAGGAAGAAAGTATTTGATGAATTAGGGTTCACAATATGTGCTGGTATTGCACACAATAAACTACTGGCTAAACTGATCTGTCCATTACACAAACCCAACGACCAGACTACAATATTTCCACAGCATGCAGTAAATTTTATGGCTACACTCCAGAGTGTTCGTTCCATTCCAACAATTGGGTCAAAGACCACAGAAACTCTCATATCTCAGAAAGTTTTGTCCGTGAGTGATCTGCAACAAGTATCCGTTGAAGTGTTAAAGAAACATTTCAGTAGTGACATGGCTGTTAGACTGAAAAAATTAAGTATAGGGGAAGATAATACTCCAGTGAAACAGACAGGGAAGCCTCAGAGTATAGGCTTGGAGGACAGTTTCAAGACTGTCAGTGTAAAGAGTGAGGTGGAAGAAAAATTTGAAGCCCTGCTCCAGAGGCTGCTTGTATTGGTAAGGGAAGATGGACGCATCCCAGTCTCATTACGAGTGACACTAAGGAAGAAAGATGCCAAGAGGTTGAGCAGTCACAGGGAATCAAGACAGTGTCAGATTTCACCCTCCCTTTTCACCATTGCCAGTGGCACTTTAACAGTAACTGCATCTGGTCAGCAGAAGCTGATGACAATAATTATGAGATTGTTCAATAAGTTAATTGATTTAAATAAACCATTCCATTTGACTCTTGTTGGTCTCGCATTCACTAAGTTCCAAGAACGTATGACTGGAAGAAGTTCCATAGTCAACTACTTAATGAATGACATTTCTGTACAATCTGTTCTCAATTTGCAAAATGATGGTGACACCTCAGTTTCCTCCATGGACTACTCAGCTGCCTCACCCAGTAGTAGCACAACAACTGATCTCTCTGATGCTGAAGTGGAACCATCACCTAAAAAGCCTAAAAAAGTTAACTGGATAGCTAAAAGAAGATGCCTGTCAAAGGAAGACATTGCATCACCAAGTAAATTGAAAGTGGGTGAACTCAGATTGAATTCTAAAGAGCTGGAAAAAGTTTCAGAACTTAGACTGAATTCAAGAGACAGATCTTTAACACCGAGAGCCAGTCCTGCAAAGGAATGCCTCTCAGATGCATCAGACACAATGAATGATGTGGCTGAAGGAGGAAACTGTGATGATTGCCCGAGTTATGTTGACAAAGAGGTATTCAATGCCCTTCCAGATGAAATGCAGCAAGAACTTAAGACAATGTGGAAAAACCCCTCAAGCTCAGGGATGCCAGTGCAGAGAAGTAGTCCCAGAACGAACAAAGCTAAACCGAACACAATTTTGAAATATTTTGTTCCACACAAATAGTATTAGTAAGATTTTTATCTTGTTAATTATTTTAAGTGTAAGTGAATGGTTTCTATTTTTTCAAATCATACAATTTTATTCAGCTGATCAAATACATGTTTATGTTAAAAATGTTTTGTTTTATTTAATTGAAGAGGGTTTAAAATAAATATGTTAGTGTGCAACTGGGCATATCATTTAATATCTATATTTTTTACAGCATCTGTGACCATGGAACTCAAGTCATCGAACTTGTGAACAGTATTTACATTGACTCTCAAGCTTTCGGCTAGGTTCCCGTATGAGACGACGTCAACGTTGAGTTGCAGCCGAATCTTGTCGCCATCGGTAACACCGCCGCTCTCTGTGCTCTGTTGGGAACTCTTCTCCCTGATTTGCTTCAGTCTTCTTAGTGACTCCTCAGTTCTCGTAATGGAGGTCAAAACGTCTTCCACATATTTGTAATATCTGTAAAAATAAAAGTGTGCATTGGTATTGTGAATACATTATTATAATATGCATTTTAAGTCATTTTACAATTGACTAGTGAATGGAAGAAATAGATATGGTACGACATAAAAGGTGAGGACGTGAATAAGAACCATGTTTGTTACCAAATATGTAAAGTTCACCATTATAAATAAATTTACAATTTAATTAATCCTTTTATATCAGGGTAAAATAAAAGTAGTGCAAATATCAAAATAATTACTCAATATTTTCTTTTCTAAAAATATGCATAAAACATGTGTATATCTTTCAATGTGTTCATAGATTAGTCTAATTATACAATGCCAAAAATACTTACGATACAGTCATAACATTAAATAACGATTCATACAACTCAATTAGGAATGCATTATCCAGTCTCTTTATTGCATTCTCATTAAACTCCTGGAGAGCTTTAGATATTGTTTCAATATATGCACAAGGCTTTGTTGGTATGCTTCTATTAGTCTTTCGATATAATCTTGGTATGTCACTCACTTGCTTCAACTGAACATTGAAGTGATCATACAATTCATGTACTATGCACTCTCTGATTTTTACTTTCGTCCCTTGTAAAGCACTTTCTGAAGGTTTAAGACTATGCCTAAGTATATCTTTGTTTTCAACTGGTATCCTCATTTCAGCAAGAGTCAGGAAACTTGGTAACCTTTCCAAAAGAATTTGTACGTCAATATGGATGTCAATACTGTTATCTAGAAGAGTTTTATTTACACTTGTCAATTCTTGTTTGGGAGAGTTTCTCTGGAAATAAAAGACAAAATTTAATAAAGTTCTAGTGCTTGTTTTGCTTGTTACTGTTATATGGTTGTGGTCAAATAAGTTTTTATAAGAAAATGGGATGTAAGACTTAGTGAATGCTATGTGCAGATGGTATCATCCTCTGTGCAACAAACTTTCAGTTTGTTTTGACGAATTCATGTTGAATTACAATCAAAATGAAATCATGACTGCTTCAAAAAAGTTCAAAATACCTGAGCACAATAAGTGGATGCCCAATTGACATATCTTGATAGTAACTGCAAAGAGAGCTTCCAAAACTTGTGCGCTAAGGCCTCTATGTAAACTCCATCAGACCAGCACTCTTGCAGGGCCATCCAGCACCTGCTGGTTTCTTTTAGAATAAAACCCTCTTCAGCTCCAACAGTGGGATTCTTTTGTAGCACTGCTTCGTAACCTCCTGAAAGTAAATGTTTACACTTTAATAAAGCTTCATTAAAAGACATTTGCAAAATGTTTTTATAACTTATTTTTCTAATAAATCACACCTGTAAATAAGTGTGCTTGATTTGAAGACTTCAAAAAGACTATGTTTATGTAATATTGTTAACATTAGGAAATAACTGTCTCTTACCTGCAATTTCTTGAAACCGTATTTGAAAATAAACTGGCAAGTTCCATCTCTTCTGAAAACTCCTATACTCCGTTGTTTCCCTCAATAACTTCATTGTTTTCTCGTCTGTACAATACCCTTCTAACTTTCTTATGAACTGCATGCTTTCACTGTACCTCCTATAGAATATCTGCGGGTTGCCAGGAGCAAATATTGAAGCAAGATTAACCTCTAGTCTGTTCTCAACTTCGCACCAAAAACAATTCACTAAAAACCTGTAATTCTTCACATGAAACATCAACTTAGAATGTTGCATAACAGTTAACAATAGTTTTAACTTGGTCTCTAATAAGAATAAAATTCTTTCATAGATGCCTTGGAGTCCATCCTTGCTTCTTTGCAGTGACGGCTCATTAATGATATCCTGAAGTAATGGAGCGACAGCTTGCTTTCTAATATACATTTCTGTTTCACTCACACGATCTAATGAAGTCAATGTGATTAGTGTTTTCAAAAGATTCTCTTCATCATTGTCGTTCCAAAACTGGAACAGTAATTCATTTAGGGTTTGTACAAGCTTGTTTCCCACTTCTTTAAATAGTGTTTTATGGTCTGGCTTGATCTGACTTTCACATTTTGAAATAGAGAATTTTAATTGATTGTATTGCATTGCTGCTCGGTCAACAAGGGCTACTTGATCAAGTTTTTTCTTGTCAGCAATGTTTCTTAATATGTTTTGAAGTGTGTTTAGGCAGTTGATAGTTTGGCTGTAGTATTTAAGAAGCTGTTTCTTTTTTTGAAGTGCATGTCTCTGACTCAGCCACATAGACAACTCTTTCATTGCATCTTCCAAGCATTGTTTTACAGTCTGTAATGTTAAAAGCATATAAGTTATTATATATGTGACCTCTACTTTTACTACAATGTTATTTACAATTGTTGATAGGAAAATAAATCAGTGGAACAACTGCACAGCCTTATCAGATTTGAAGGTATTTTATTATCAATGACATAATGATGCCCTACTTTAGAGGTCTCAGAGGTACAGCCACTGCACCCATCACCCTGAGACATAAGTTGACAAGTCCCATGTGCCTGTAAATTCACCAGCACCCTTACAAATTTATATTATTTCATTAACATTCAGTATTTATTATATAAATGTCAATCATTTCACAATGGATTGCTATCACTAGAACAACAATAAAAATTACTCACTCCCACTTCTTCATTCAGATGCGCTAACGGCACTTGAATTTTTATTATAGCTTTGTCGAAGCCGATAAGAGTGGCACACAGGTTGACGAAATTCGCGTAATCTTTGTTGATTAACTCTATCATTGCCAGCCGAAGCACTTTTAGGTAGACGCCCAAATCATCACGCATCGTCTCCAAAGAAGCCACATTTTGGTGCTCCACCAAGAAATTATCGACGGAGAAATTTGTCTGCAATTTATATAAACTCGTAATGAAAACATGCGTAAAGCACTTTAGCATAAAATCGAAAAGTATCACAGGAAATTCGCGGAAATACCTTGACGAAATCATTCCGGTCGAAACACAGTCCCCGTGGTGCCGGCGGCAGTGTAAACTCTATAGAATCGTTATCCATGCTACTGGGCTTGTAGTTCTTTTCTATGAAGGCACCATCGTTACGAAATATCATTAGAAAACTGCAAAATTACCTATTTAAATCGCTTTCTTTTGCGACCATTTTGACACTTCTCTGACGTAGGTCTGACACATCACACGTCAGTTTTTTGAGTTCGGATACACATTAGACTATTTACGAGATACACGAAGTTTGATTTTTTGACATCTTTCACAACAGGAAAAAATTTTTCCTAAATGAAAATAAATGAAATTATTCCGAAAAAAATTAAGAAATGTAACTTGGAATGAAGGAAGTTATTCTAAATAACTGGGAGAACGTATTTATATCTAATATTTTTCTCGTTGAAACTTCACAAATCAATACATTGGCTTCTGCAAGTTGCTAGTTCTTTCTGTACCCTATACACTGAATAGTAGAACTAAGCACGTAGGTAATATAAAACTTGGGGAATTTATCGTTCCCCTAACGAACAATAAAACGGCCTCGTAAAAACTGTAATATTTCATAACAATTACATGTACGTACGTACGTACGAAATAATTCCGACTCCCTCTAACTTAAATGTCAATGGACTTAAATGACAATTTACGTAATTAGAACACTATCAAATATTTTTGGCAAGTGTGACACTCGAAGATAAAAACCGAGTCTAGTCCAGTACTACTACTTTAGTCTAGTCCTTCCAATTTGGGGAGTTTGTCGTTCCTCTAACGAACAATAAAACAGCCTTGTGAACTTCATAAACTAATATTTCATAATAATTGTATGTAGAAAATAATTCCGACAATTTGCAATCGCTCTGACTTAAGTGACAATTTACGGAACTAAAACACTAGGTATCGAATATTTTTGGCAAGTGTGATACTCTCCTTGGCGACTCTCGTCCAAAGAGACTGCCACAGCGAGCCGGTGATAATAGGCGGCGTCTAAGCCGCCACAAAAATAATTGTCCCGGAGAATAAAACATAAATGTGGCAATTAGATTAAGCAGAAATTTTGGTCCACACCAATATCTACATATTAATATAACTATGTAAAAGTATTAAGTACTGTCGATATGCCAATTATCCCTCCACAAACAACATCAATTTAAACCTCATTCTAATGAAGCCTAAATTACGCCGTTATTGTACAAAATTATACAATAATGATCCTATAAACGGATATTAACCACAGCTTATTGCAATATTGTTAGAACAACCCTTCTCGATAGTCCTCTTTGAACATTCTTGTTTTTTATAATCGAAGAAATGGTCGAACTAAATGTTGAAGATCTCTATTTGAACCGAGCAAAATTCGTAATGAAATTGTTTGGTGTCTGGGTGCCACCAGATCAAGAGTCTTTAACACAAAAGTGCTACAGAATCTTTATGATGTCTCTACAATACGCATTTCTTTTATTTCAAACAATTTATATTATTCAGGTGTGGGGCGACCTTGATGCCGTTTCTCAAGCATCTTATTTATTGTTCACCCAGGCATGTTTGTGCTTCAAAGTGACGGTCTTTCAATTGAATATGAAAATACTTAAAGATTTGTTGAAACGTATGAATGGGGATGTTTTTAAGCCGCAATCGCCTGTACATGTGAAGTAAGTACTAATAAGTAAGAAGGCACCTAAGTAAATAGAAATATCACCAAAGATTTTACGATTGCTCAATGAAAACAAAGTCTAAACAAAATCGCGTGAATGAAGTGGCCATAAACTGCTACTCTGTTGTAGACTAGTTTTTTATTTCCTGAAGGTAAAGGCTTCTCTAGAATAAGGAGCTATTTTTCACACACACACACACACACACGCACAATCCGCTTGTGTTTCATTACCTACCTTTCGTTTTTATTTTGATATAGAATTCTAAAGTTCCACGCATCACGGATCAAGCGGCTTCTTTTGGGCTTCATGATCAGTTCGCAAGCCACATGTGGTCTTTGGGCACTCAAGCCACTGTTTGACGACACAAATCGCAAGTTTCCATTTGATATGTGGTAAGTTATAAAATTATAGGTGAAATAACGCTGTGCGAAGTAATAAGGAGGTATTTAGGATGAAAACTTCAATTGTTTTCATTGACTTACAATTATATGGACGTCGGGTCCGCGCTAAAAAGTGTCCGCACTTGTAAGGCGCTAAAATCGTATACAGAGCGCCAAACTCCGCTTTAGTCTTCATTTGTTCGATTGACAGCGCGATACTGCGATGACATTACAATTTAAATTTCGAATAGGTTGACTTGGGACATTTTTTTCGTGGTTTTTGTATTAGACCCGTCGTCCATTTATTTGTAAGTCAATGATTGTTTTACAAAAATTAATGTTTCTAAGAAGGGCATTATATAACGTCATGATTCGCACTTGAGTTTATGCTACCTCAAAAATGGCTTTGGTTATTCCGCATCAGTGAAATTGTTGAATCAATCACTTTGGACAAAATATATAGTAAAATTGAGGATTTGCACGACTACTAAACGCTGCTACACATTAACACTGTTCTTACACAAATGTGACACAGAACAGTGTTTGCATTCGGTAAGCGAGGAGCGTACTCTTCATTCATTCAATATATAATTACGTGTACTATACGTTTATTTCTATGCAGGATGCCAGTTCATGCCGATCAATCTCCGCATTACCACTTAGGCTACGCGTTTCAGCTGCTGACAATTTGCATAAGCGCGTACATGTACTTCGGCGTCGACAGCGTTGCCCTTTCGATGGTCCTCTTCGGCTGTGGCCAGCTAGACATTGTTAAGGATAAACTTATGAGCGTACGTTTGTTTTATTTCGGTTACTTTTAAAAATGTATGTCACTCGAGTGATTAGTTGGTCGTAGCTAGGACGAAATCCAAGTAAGTGAATTGCGATTTACTTTTCGTGTTTTTAAGTAGCATTTGAGATCATAACTAACTTCACAACTTAGATTACTACAAAGCATTTTTTGCAGGTAAAACCAACATGGAAAAAACGAGGACAGGAAATGAATTTGATTCAAACGGAAAACTACAAAATTCTTACTGAATGCATTGTGCAACACCAGTCAATTGTTTCGTCAGTATACTCGTATATATAAACTTTCTATCCCTGTGTCTAAATCATAGATATAGAATAGAGATGAAACGGATATCCGGTAACTATCCGGTATCTGGCCTATCCGGCCATTTTTTGCTATCAGGCCGAATAGTAAAACAATATCTATATATGTTTTTAATATATTTAAAACTGAGAAAAATTCATATTCACTACGCCAAATAAATTTATTTACTGATTAAAAATGATACAAATAGGAGGCAATTACAGGATCGTTTTATTTGTTTATGACTTGTAACTGAAAAAACTATGAAGTTAGATAACGTTACCTGCAAATTTGTTACTCAAATTTCAATCAAATCAAAAAGGCAAATTATGGTGGATGAAACCCATGTTTTCTGTATTAAATGATAAAACTTGGTTTCATAAACGAGACCAGCTTAAAAGGACAGTTTCATATAAAACTTTGTTAATTTTTAAGTACTACGTGTTATTGCCAGACGACCAAATGAAAGGATCGCGAGAAAGTATCGCGATCACGTTCGATTTAAACTATCTTCAAATACAATGTGTACCTACTTACAATAATAAAACGTGTAAGTAATAAGTAATAAGTTTTTTTAGGACTCTGTGGTATGGCTTGGAATTAGTTAGATCATAAATAAATTAATGAAAACAATTTGAAACAAAATAATAACGAGGGTATCAAGTGCTAGGCGTATCTTATAATAACTAAAAATTTTAATATAAGTTGCACAAAAAATGTAAACTGTCGCCTAATAATGAAGTGCTA